AGTGTGTGTTTGGGTTTGTCTGTGTGTTTGTGTGTGTGTTTGTGTTTGTGCGAGTGTTTGTGTTTGTGTGTGTGTGTGTGTGTTTGCGTGTGTGTATGAGTGTGCCTGTATGTGTTTGTGTGTGTTTGTGTGTATGTGTGTGTGTTTGTGTGTGTGTTTGTGTTTGTGTGTGAGTTTGTGTGTGTGTGTTTGTGTGTGTTTGTGTATGTGTGTGTGTGAGTTTGTGTGTGTGTGTGTTTGTGTGTGTGCGTGTGTGTGTGCGTGTGTGATTATGTGTGTGTTTGTGTGTGTGTTTATGTGTGTGTTTGTGTGTGTGTGTGTGTGTGTGTGTGTGTGTGTGTGTGTGTGTGAGTCACAAAAGTGAAATGGGTTTGTAAACTGACGGGTATAAATTAAAATAGATATATCGATCTACATCAGCGCCGTGTGACATACAAACTGACAGTCGTGTTGTCGAGCTTGAAACCAGCTACGCATTTCGTCACCGACATTCAATAGTATGTATGTCAACTGCGAAAGAGCACAGGTGCCAAACGACCACAGTCACTAAACTGAAAATCGTGAGGGTATCAATTTTGATCACTTATCGTTGACTCATAACTGTATTTCTGTTCAACTGCTGGTTGATTATTGTTGTTAGATTTCCCATTCAACAATTAACAATTAACCGCCAGTCAAACAAATAATAATATGAAGTTATGAGTCCACAAGCTTTTAAAATTGGCACTCTCCGCACAATTTTTAAAAAATTGTGACTAATGGTTGTTTTTCCCTTGTGCTCTTCATATGTGAGGCAGCGTGGTGGAATCAGGCTCTCGTCAAAACAATCAAAGTGAAGAATCTGTCATTTTTCCGCAGCTTTGTGAATTTTTATCAAATTTTTGGTTTTTGGTTCAACACATTTCATGCCCATTAAAGAACTCATTTCTGAGAGGTTTTGACTGAAAAACGTTAATTGAAGGAACATAAAAATGCAAATTTTCAGTTACCACAGACTCTTAAACTAAGGGAATGACTAACCTCTGGGGGCCAATTTCTCACTTATTTTACTTCTGAAACAAGGTGACCCCCACATCCTTCATTCGCTAATATCTCGACTTGTATTCAAGATAAATGGATTTTTTTTTCATCCAAATAAGACAACTGAACAAGCTTTAAGATGATACCAATAACTCGACATGCCCAAAAATTGACGAGAGCCTGATTCCCCCCATGCTGCCTCACATGTTCGTCTATTTTCGTGAAAACCAAGCCTGTCATAAAGTGTGATAAGGTAGATGGATAAGGTACACCTCGAATGGAGCTACGACATGATCTCATTCCTTTTTCAAAAGGTGGAAACGGATTTAGGCGAAAGAAACATTTTGTGTGGAAGTTTTGTCTGAGCGAAATAAAATATTTTTTTTGTTTGTGTTGGGGTTTTTTCTTCGTGCTGTACATAACTGCTTTCCATTTTTGCTGATGCACTGTGTCGCTTTTGCTGTGGCCGTAAGTCTGCAGTCAAAATGTATTGCTATTACGTTGAAATTTGATCTATGATTTTATGCACATAGTATAGTACAGGAAAACATGTGTATCGTTATCATGACATTATTGAAGGCCTGTGACAAATTCCTGCATGTGGTTTGAGAGATGTATCTGAGAATACATTTTGATAGCGTATTGTTGTCAACTTTATATTTCTTCATAAATTGAAATTCTTGGACAAAAATAATATACAATTTAAAGTTTGTGCATATATATATATATATATATATATATTACTTACTACCCGTTACACTATCTGGCATTTAGGGCAGCAACAAAGGATCTCCAGCTCTGTCGACTCTTTTGGGCCATCTTGGCCATCGTCCCCAACGAATGGTTCCAGGACTTCATTTCAGACTCTATTTGTGCGTCTCCAGGTCACTTTGGGTCTACCCCTTTAGCGACGTCCTTCTGGTGTCCAGTGGAGGGCAGTCTTCACAATAGAGTCTGGCTCTCTTCTCAGTACATGTCCAATCCATCTCCTTCTTCTCCTTTTATTATGGCGGTCAAGTCCTTTCCCTACATTTTTTAAACAGATCTGAGTAGGAAATCTTATCGGGCCATAAGATTCTGAGGATTTGGCGTAAGCTGAAAGTATGAAAAGGAGATAGCTTGGCACGGTCATGATAAGTCATTCTCTAGCATTCAGCTCATTTATAT